GATGCAGCCAGGTAAGACCATGGAGCCCTTCAACCCAAATGAGGGTCTTCTTGGTTTCTCGACCACCTCCCAATGTTGCTTTAACTCCGTCCATCCCAAAGTCCAGTGACAGAGATTCAGCGGCTGGTAGATGAAAGGGAATATACAGGTAATAATACTGCTCACATATAAAAGTAATAATCCTTCATTTGTACATTTATACAGTATCTCTTGCTCCCCACCCCCCACCCTCCCCAAGCCATCTTGTCTCTTTCCGTCTGGCCTCTGTCTGGGCTGGTGGCCCATTCCCCCAGGCCCTATGCCAAGGGGTTGCCAAGATCATCATCTGCGCCTCTGGACAGCAGCTCCCGCTTTTCATCTGTGCTGGCTAGTGAGTTGCGGCTGTTGTGGGCTCCCATGTAGAGTGTGGCATACACTGGGTTTGTGAAGTTTGTGGGCTGGAGGAAAAGGAGGAAAAGGGAGAGTGTGAGAGACTTCTGGGGAAGAAGGCAGAGTTGGCTTCTCAGGAGATTTCCCACAGTCCCTTTTCCTATACCTCCACCCCCCCCCGGCTCTCCTCAGGGTTCATCATTCCATAATTTCCCACCAAGGTGTGGCAACAGCAAAAAGCACATTTCAGCAGCCATGTATTGAGAGAAGGTGGTGAGTCTTTCTTTCAGACTTTGTTAACTATGAGCCTAGAATATGGATGGTTTAATACAAACCCATCACTAATGCACTATTATTGCAACCCATGACATATTGGAGAATACAGCTGCCCAAAAAACTACCAGTCTGGAGGGGGCAAAACGTTACTCCTAGGAGCATTCTGTCCAAGGAGCAAAGCAGAGTAACTAAGTCGCTGCACCAAGTGATGGCAAGGTGCTTTCTTTTTGGTAAAAGATGCTGGTGATGATTAAAAAGGTCCTTGGTTTCTTCATACTTAAAGGTAAGACCACCACCCCTGAACATTCTTAAAATTTGCCCACCCCCTGGCAAAGACGAATACAATCTTCAGGGGGCATTTTTGCCCCACCCTCTAAAACTAAGTCTGGATGCCTCAACTAGTACTTCAACCTATCCTTAGTTAAGGCCAACAAGGGCAAGGAGGAAGGAATTTGCTTCAGACAGGGAAGGTGAACACGCAACTCTCTGGGTGCGCTTGTGATCTCTTAACCATGAAGCTTTCCATCTGGCACTGGTCTTTAGTGCCAAAGAGTTTCATCAGTTACTTGGCCTTGTAGAAGCACCACATTTGAATTGTGAAGAAAACACATGCAGAAGGAGTGTGGTGGAGTCTCCTTCTTTGGAGGTCTTTAAGCAGAGGCTTGACAACCATATGTCAGGAGTGCTCTGATGGTGTTTCCTGCTTGGCAGGGGGTTGGACTCGATGGCCCTAGTGGTCTCTTCCAACTCTATGATTCTATGGTTTTATGATACCACCTCAAATCGAAGCATCTTCTGAGAGCAGTGTTTATTGTTTGCTTTTGTGGAATCAAACAAACATTAGCTATTTATAATTTTGCAAGACTTGCGAGCCTGTTGCTGGCTGCCCAAATTGTGGGGACAGAACCAGATACACGCTAGGATTAAAAACAACTTCCCTGGGGTTTGTGAAGGATGTGTCTACTTGGGGCCCTGGCCTCAAAAAGGCTCAGCACCCTCAAAGCAAAGGGTCCCCAGGATCCTCTGATTCTAAGCTGCCCTTATCTTGGGCTCTACTTTTTTCATTCTGTTATTCCCTCTGTGCACCCTGCCATGTTTGCCTTCCAGCCCCTGCCAGGTGCTTTCGTTCACTCCTTTTCCCTTCTCCCCCTCCAGAGGACTTTGGAGTCCTTTCTCCAAAGCAACCTCAAACAGCCTTTGCATGTTAGTCCGTCTCTCTGCTCCCGCTTCCAAACCTTGTCGGGGTCAAGGGCGAAGTCAGCATCTAGCAGCTCCCCCACATCATCTGCGTCGGGGTCCCCTTCGTACATCTTATAGGTGGGGTTGCCGATCTCCACGTTCATGGCACCGTTGGTCATGCGCTGGTGTTGGAAGCCTTTGGCCCTGGGCGTGAGGAAGAACAGGGATGAAGCGGAGGTCAAGGTGGGCTTATCATGCTGTTCAGAGTGGGGAGGAGCAGCAGTGACTAGACATTCAGGGCACTGTTCTCAGCAAATGCCAAGGTTGTACAAATGCTAATGAGGGGGGGCACTTGCAAGAAATCATTGGCAGGAGGGTGGGGTGCTTAATGTCTTCTGCATCTACTGATTACTGTATGCAAATACACCCCTCCAGAAACCCCCCACTATATTTAAAAAGTGAGTGCATCTGCAGGAAAGAACTAGCAGCAGAGGGAAGTTAAGCACCCTTCCCTACCCCACTTTATGTTACAGTGAAATCAGAGCATGATGGAACCCCAGGCTTCCTTTGTAATGGTGTAGCCCTGCCCTCAGTAGAAAGGATTATGACATCAACAGTCATATGTGTGAGTAATGGGAGAGTCACTGTCAATCCAAGTAGAGAGTACTTGCTTTCATGGGCCAAGGATAAAGTACCAAGGTATGAAGGGATTGGAATGGGAGGCTGATGAGCAGCATTCTGCATCCATCCCTGATTGAACGGAGCTAGATTTAGCATGCAGTTCACCGGCAGAGTCTATGCTGAAAACAGGTGCAAACTGGTCTCTTGTTTACTTCCATCTTGGCCATCATGGCCACTGGCCATGGACAGAGCTGGTCTGCCTCTACTAGCCCAAACTTTTGAGTAACCCACCATGTGTTTCTATTGAACTGCAGCAGACCTGATGCTGAGCTGAAAATGTGTTTCCCCTCTTTATGGGTGTGACCCCTTAGTATGTTCTTGGGAACCATGAGAGTTCAAAAAAGATCCAAGAGGGCAGCAGGCAGGGCAGCTTCATCCACACACATCTCCCACAGAGAACCCAGACACCCCACTAGGGCTCTAAATATACCATGACATGAGGCAGCTGTACAAACGACCAAAACGAATGTGGCCTCAGCAATGAGAAGCAGAATTGCAGCAGGTTGAAGCACGGACACAATCAAGATTTATGCAACACAGAATCTAAAAACTCCCCCATCTCCACGGCAGTAGATATGCAACACACTCAAACACCACCCACAGTCACCGTTTCTGAGTGCTTTGCTTACCCTTTAATCCGTTTCTTGTACCAGACCACAGCTCCTGCCACCAGTATCACCAGCAGCAGGAGGAGGATTGGGATGATGATGGACACGGTTCCTACAGGAGGTGGGGAAACACTGGTCACTGACTAGGAAGCATCCCTCGTAGCCCACACCCCCAGACAGAGCAAAGATCTCATCAACACTAAATATGCACAGCCTGTCCCTTATGTCTGCATATATATTTCCATTTCTGGGCAAGATGGATACAGTTGTACTCAAATATCCAAGAAGCAAAGGCATCTCATTTCCCTCTAGGTTCAAATGAGGACCAGTGTGGTGCATCAATTAGCTTATCAGGCTAGCATGGGACAGACCCAAGTTCAAATCTCCACTCAGTTTACCTCTGACCGGTTAATACCATCTCCCAGCCTAAGCTACCTCACAGGGGAGCTTGTGAGGATAAAATGGGGCTGGGATGAGAAAACCCCACGTCTGCCACCCTGAACTCCTTGGAGGAAAGGTTAAGGTATAAATATAATGAACAGAGACAGTTTTCGGTGCAGGTGAATGGAAAGCATTCACTAGTACTGTACAGGGAAGAGAAAAAGGTGCAATCTGGAAAACTCTACACCAACACACCTCTAGCTACGAAATACACCAAAGACCTCCCTCTGTCTTTGTGAAGACATTTCACTTGATAATCTGATAGAATGTAAGCCTATCCATGAATTTTTTAAAAGTAAAAAAGTTTTCTATCCTGCAGCATTTCTGGGATGTTTGCATGTAGGCCAAGTATTTTTCGCCTTGACAATGGACACTCACAAACGTTTGTGGAATCTGGACCTAAAAAGCCCCCCCCCCCCCGGGGCCTGCAAATAATTTAATAAATGGGCGCATTTCTCACAAGGTGGGCATGCCAGGAGGCAGATTTCATGTGCCACTGAGGGCAGCAGAGAGACAGAGCTGACCCACAGGACACAATCCACTGAGGTGTTTCTTCTGCACAAACAGAGCTGAACAAGAACACAACCATGTGCTTCCTTTCACAGAGAGCAAGTCTATCAATGGTTTCTAGTCAAGGTGTCTCCATGTTGTCTCCAGCCTAAGAGGCAGAGTTGCAGGGATCATGAGCTGTGCTTGTGTCCTGCTGAATCTAGCAGGGCTCCTCTTATGCTCAGTGCTTCCTATTCATTTAAACAAGACATGTGGGGGAGCCTCCGAGTGGATTGTTCCCCTGTGTGAGGAAGGGAATAACCATTTGAATAAACTGCCTCAAGGACCAGAATGCCATGGGCCATGTCCCTCTGGCTGGTATGGAAAAGTCACCACCCTGCATGAACAGGTGTTCCCTGACTCTCTCCAGCTGCAGCCCACACCCACCTGACACACTCACATGCCCCCCATCAACCCCTACAGGGGCTGCCCTTGAGCCCCCCTCTACATACGGTTGCTCTGCTGCTCGTTGCTCGCAGATCTCTCACAGCGCTCCCCTGTCATCTCCAATGTGCACCTGAAAAGCAAAAGGCATGTGGGTGTTTGTGGATGGGATGGACACAAGCAAGAACTTCCTTGGGCAAGGAATATGCTGAAAAAGTGGTGTGAGGAGAGAGAGAGGGAGAGAGAGAAAGAGAAGGGGGGCAGATTATGCTAAGGAGAACACTGGAGTAGCTGAATGGAACTCATGAGATACAGGGAAGCCGCTATTACTTCAGCAGAGGGCTGCAGGAAGGGTGTGCAGATTGTGCCATAATCCAGCATGCAGGAGTATCTCTCACGCAAAGCCCATCTTGGAAGGAACACAAGAAGCTGAGTTGGGTCCATCTAACTCAGTATTGTCCACAGAGTAGTGGCTCTCCAGAGCTTCAGAAAGAGGCTTCTCCCAGTTCTATCCGGAGATGCCAGGGACTGAACCTGGGACCTTCTACATGCAAGCCAAATGCGCTACCATCGAGCTATGGCCCTTTTCCCTATGGGGCAAAACAGGGGAAATGGCAGGCAGGTCACATGAGATGGGCAGCAGGAAAACTACACAATTCAAGGAAACAGGTTATTTAGGAGCATGCCTGTCTTAGTATGGAGGTGGGCTTGGAATGTGTGAGTTAGGAGAGCACAGGATAGGAAGCTGGGTAAAGACTTGTCTCACTGAAAGTAAGCAGGCATGCGCCCCCTTTCCCTTCACCCCCGTTTCCCTCCAAACTCACTGGCACTCAGGCATCGAAGTTTCAGCATTCATGGTGCAAGTGCCCCCATTGTAGCAGTAGTTGTTGCAAGTCAAGCAACTGGGGGCTATCCTGCCATCAGGGCAGCTGCAATGTAGAAGGGAGATGCGGTCAACGTGGCAGAAACTCCCCCTCCCCCTCCCTCTGCTACTGCCCAAAGAGTAAATCACAACCGGTTACAAGTCCAACCTTTCTAGCCTATCTATCCCCAGCAGCTTCCTGCCGTAGGAGCGTTAACCCCCCCCCCGAAACAGGCCTTCTCTCCAACACGGCCTCTGTGTGTACCTCAACGTAGCACCCCTGCTCCCATCTTTTAAAGTTCTGCTTGTGGGATCCTGTCCCAACCCCTAACACACCAACCACAGAAACTGATCTAGGAGACCCCTCACAACTTAACAGCCAGGGATACTTTGGATAGGACTCCCATGGTGTCCCCTTGGAAAGGATACGAGACAGCTGTGTGCACACATAAAAGCCCCACAAATGTGTCCTGCAACATCACAGCAGCCAAACTTTTCCCCCCAAAAACCCTATCCTGGTTCCTCGCCACTTGGGTGTCCATGGTGACTGTCCAGTTCCCCCTGCCAGCTGCGTTGTGTGGTGCTTCTCCAATGCCTCTATGGGCAGCGGACCCAAAGCACCCAAAGCACTATCTCTCAGGACCATCTCAGACCTCCTCTTCTTCCAACCCCCAAGCAACTCTTGGCACCTACGTGCAGCTGACGTTGCCAGTCTGCTGGATGATGGAGCAATTGCCCTTGAGACAGCGGTCACACTTGTTATGCTGGCAGCGGTCACCATAGTAATATGGCGGGCAGCGGCACAGGCGAGCTCCAGCGGCAGTCAGCTGGCACACACCGTTGTTCTCACAGAAGTTTGAGCACTGGCCTGAGGGGTACAGAAAAGATGTTGCAGCACGAGACATAGGATTCATTCCTGAACAAGGTCCTGAGACTCTACCATACCCCAGGGTTCATAAACTTCATCTCCGTTGCACTATCTATTTAACATTTGTTCATTTATTTAACAATAAAAATATATTTTTAAAAAATCAATCACAAAAGGGGCAAATTCTCAAGTGCTTTTCTGACAGTCATCCCACTGATGGGGCACGGGAATTAGACCTCACACTGGATGGAAATGAAGACACAGTGATTCCCCTGCAATGTGATTTTTGCTGAAGATACCCAAAGGGACTCTGAATATATGAAGAATTCAAGGTCCTCAGTTTGGTATACTAAAATTAAATCAGACAATAAATGGGATGTTTATCTGCAGGAATTAACAAGCTTCCCCTGCCGTCAGACATGTGTTTATTCAGCTAAGATTTCAAATGATTCGCACAGAATATGTGACCAGTAAATTATTTAATATTGTCGTGGCATATGCAGACGAGGCTGCATTGAAGACCTTGTATGCTAGACTACCCTCCCATTGCCCTTTTCATGTGCAGGAATAGATTCTACTATTCATTGTGTAACTTTTTTAGAAGGTCAATCAGGTGATTTCAAATCAGGCAGTTGCTGGTTGACGCAAACAAGTTTTAAAGGATTGTTTTATAAGCTCTAGCAGGGAAAAAGTTATGGGCAAGTTTTCTGCTCTATAACAGTGTTGACTGCCAAGGCGTTTTTGTTTTTTTAACTAAATGATTTGATCATTTGTAGTTCTGAAAATAGGTTTTCACTTTACTCTTGGATTGGATTGTTTGTTTTTGTGATTTATATTCTAAGAAACTAAAAAATCTGGCCGATCTCCCTGACATTTCCTCCTTTGGCCAGTGTGTGTGGGGGGGGGTCTGCTGTGGCCTTGGGAGCTGGCAGGCACTTACGGTATTGGCACTTGTCACCGATGAAATCAGTTTGGCAGCGGCAGTTGGGCTGGTTACCCTGGTTGACGGTGCAGCTGCCGTTGTTGAGGCAGTAGTCCGTGCACAGCTGCTTGTTGCACCGAGAGCCAGTGAAGCCGTTGGGGCAGCGGCAAGTCGGCATCCCTGGGGTGGGAGGGTAGAACGCAGGTTACTGTTAGCAAGGCTGGGCCCATATAACTGACTTAATGCTACATGGACTGCTGCAGCCAACAAAAGGCACCTGTCCTGCATATGTTGTTGTGACTTCAAGTCCCACCAGCCCCATTCAGCAAGGCCAAGGGTCAGGGATGATGGGAGTTGTAGTCCAGTGACATCTGGAGGACCACATGTTTTCCCCACCACAGGCATAACAAGATCTTTGAGGAAACCCAACAGCCAGTTGAATGTATATGGTACCTCCTGGGAAGTGGTGATCCAGGAACATGGCAGACAGGAGAATATTTTACCACTCTTGTATTTCATAGAATCACAGAATTGTAGAGTTAGAGGGACCCCAAGGGCAATCCAGTACAACTCCCTGCAATGCAGGAATCTCAGCTGAAGAATCCCTGACAGATGTCTTTCCACCCCTGTTGGGACTTAATCCCATATTTTTAAGAAACATTGCCTCAATTTTATTGTTTAACTTTGGGGAGATTATAAGTACATATGTTTTATTAAAACAAACAAATAAATCGACAAAGAATCTTTAGATGGCAGAAATTTTATTTTGTTACCCTGGGATCCATTTTTTCCTTTACTGCAGGTGTGGAGCTATGGATCTGGATCTGCCCCCCCCCCCCAGGCCAGTGGGCAGGGTCACCTGTCAACCACATGATTCAACTTCAGGTGAAGAACTGGGAGCACTCTCCATGTGGGCTCATAACTCTTCCCTTGCACCTCTGGCTTTAAGCCGTGGCTGCAGAGGAAGAAGCTTGGAGTCACACTTTTGGGAGGGATCGGCTCAAATGGGGAGCTCTGATTCCAGCGGCATTTGCACCTGGCCACTTTCAGCAGGTACTGGATGCACGAAGGAGCTCCTGAGTGCAAAACAAGTCTCCCTTGCAGGCTGGCATTTGGCACCATATTTAAAAGGCACATGCAAAGAACAACTGGCAGTCTGCAGGTTCCCCACGGCTGTTTAACTGCTGCTGGCATGAGCCCTCAGCTCCAGTTCACTTCGGAACAGAGATCAATTTCTTTTTTTGGCCACAAACAATAGGGAGCTGAAAAGTCTCAAACCACAAATGGATTAATGCAACTTTGCAGAAGTCCATCCTGAAAATCAGATGCTGAATTTTGACTTCAGCACTTGAAGCAATGGATCTCCTTGGTTCTCGCGTCTCCTCCGCTGCCCTGACTCCAACCCTAAGTTACACCTTCTCCCAGCGCCCCACCCCACTCACCAGATGGGGAAGCAGCACAGGTGCCCCCATTCTGGCAGTAGTCAGAGCACTGGTCATGCTGGCACTTGTCCCCGATGTAGCGCGGCTGGCACCGGCACTTGGGCTGCTTGCGGGCATTCAAGAAGCAGCTGCCACCATTGAGGCAAACCAGGTCACAGGTGTCGGTGGCTGGAACTACAAGAAAGTAGAAAAGAAAAGAAAAGCAGGCAAGAAACTGAGTGAGATACTCATTATTATTTATAGTTTACTTAGTGTTGTCACGGACTGGCTGAATGCAGAGGAATAGTGGGAGGCACCAGATGGGGAACTCCCCAAGAGACGAAGGCTCAAAGCCTGAGGATTGGTGGTGGGATGACGATGAGTGGTTAGACAGAGAAGAGGGAGAAAACTGGGAGAAGGAGGTGACAGAAGCTGGAGAGGCAACAGGGTTTAGTGAGTAGGGAGAATCTGTAGCAGAAAGAATTCCAGAATCAGACGCAGAGGTGGAAGCAGGAGTGGAGGGAGGCCAAGACGCAGAGATGGGTCAGGCTGGTGAAGAAGCCAGGTCTCTCCCTCCTACTGCAACAAGCTCCTCCTGGTTTCCCAGGACCAGAAGAGCTATGAAGAGGGAGAAGCAGAGAGAGGTATGCTGGCGGAGTCTCAGATTGCTTGGAAAGGATCCTGGGGAAGGAGGAGATTTAGTCAGCTATGGGGAGTGTCGGCATCCTTCGGGGGTCAGGAAGCCAGCTGGCTAGCCCCCAGCTGGATCACGCCCTTCCAGCCGTGACGATCCCCCGATCTCTGATGCGACGTAAATCAGTGACTCAGACTTCAGCGCCTGAGCACACTATATTAGCAGAACATGCTGCGCAAACAGAAGTGGCATGAGGCTTGTGGAAACATACTTTAACAGCTACAGATTTTTTAAGCATAAATCAGGACAAAGAAAACATGTCATCTCTCTTTCGTCTTCTCAGAGAGTCAAAAGCAAAAGCTATACACACAACGGAAGTTCCCAGCAAACTGTGCTGGAATGTAAACAGACATGTGACACGTAACAATCCCATGTCTGCTCCTTAAGGTGGAATGGAAATTCCCAACATCCTCCCCCTTTCCATGTAACCTGTGGCGCAATATTTCAACCTAACTGCAACCACTGTACATAAATCTGAAGTTGTTCCCTGTTAACAACTTTAGACAACAGGAATCTCGTTTCATGGCATGTAGGACTCCTGAATGAGTCCTTTCCAAAGACATTCCCTTGCACGATGTAATTTTATCTGCAAGTACTTGGTTCTTTGCTTGCAACTCTCTGAAGCTAGCAAAGCCAAACAGGACCTGTTGTCTTGATAAACCTGTATAGGATATTTCACATTAACCCTGACGTCCTGAAACAGTTGTAACAGCCATTCACAATCCATAAGTGAATATGAGAGTGCATTGAGTTCAGCTTCACAAGAACTCAGGCTCACTGTTGTCTGCTTCTTGCACAGCCAGTCAAACAGACACTG